AGCACCGAGTGAGCCAGGGGCAGGTACTTTTTACCATTATGGAGCAGCACGGCTTTGAGTCTCCTAGATGAGCTGTCAATGAAGAGGCGCCACTCATTCTGGTTACAGGCGATTCCGATTGCCTCGAACAGACTGGTCACATTGTGGCAGAAGCAGAGCTCATCTTGACGGGTGAAGACGCTGCAAAAAGGTTGGTGACGCTTCCTCTGATCTGCGACTTGCACACTTTCATCCAACAAGTTCCACTGCTTGAGCCTAGACGTCAAAAGCTCGGCATTGGACTTGGTGAGATCAAGATCTCTGATCAAGTCGTTGAGGTCGTTTTGGTTGGGGTGTATGGGTTTCTCTATTCAGGTCCACCTCTGAAATTGTCATTTGGATCTACAACGTCTTCCTCGCTCTCTGACTTGCTGCTCTCATCGAAAGACGGCTGCTCTCTCTCCGGAGGAGTGTGTACGGGGAGCTTATGGCAGTGTGGTACCGGGGCGATGGATGAAGGAAGGTCCGGATACGTGATAGCAGGTTCATTCTTGCCAGTCCTACGTTTGGAAGGGTCCACCATGCAGAAGTAGCAGTTGTTTGAGCGGTCAGTGGGTTCGCCAAATTCTTGGGATAGTGAACTTCATGGCTCTCTTTTCCCCTCTGTACCATCCTACAAAAATACATTTATCTCACCCATGACTAATGTGTAAGAGATTCTCGCAACATGTTTCATATATGATATATCTTTTCAATAACATTGAAAATTGTAAACATTTAAAATTTATAACTTTTACAATTTAATCTTTTTTACAAATTTTATAACATAAAATTTCGAGCAACAATTGTCCATCTAACCTTCCAGAGTTTGTTTGCATTGCTCGCAGGTGAAATGGGGTGCCCAGGGGTTTGTCTTGATCCCTGACAGGTATGCCGAAATATGTCTTGTTGGCCTCACACATCTTAGCAATGCTTCCACAGAGTACTTTTTCGCTCTTGTCTTGATAAATTGGCCGCAGACATCGCTAAATGCGTCTTCCGGATGCTTGCAGCCTCTTGATGCCATCTCAGAAAAATGCAGATATGTATCCACTTAGGCAGCTGGAACTAAACTGAACTGGTGGGCTTAAGGCCCCTGTATTTATACTACTATTTATATTACTGGAAAGTTCTAGAATGTTCGAGAGATTATTCCAAGTTTACTCAGCACTGAATCTATCTGGAATGTTCTGGAAAATAGGTAAATTTCAAAATATCACTGTCCTGGTCACAAAAGCAAAGTTTGTGGGGAATAATAGCCATTTTCTGTACTTTTGAGGCAAAGGCAATTATGAAATAACACTTACGACCCAGGAAAAAAAATGGTTACACAGTGTTACTAATCTTACCTATAAAATTATTTTTGTCTGTCTGTCTGTCTGCGCATGCGCGCTTGCGAGGGATTTGGCTCTCAAATGGTGGGGTATACGTAAACAAAAAAATTCAAGCTACCACGCCGTAAGCCCCGCGGTGGGCCCGAATCAATGCTGTTGAGATGATGCACTCTTCGAAGGTCAAGTAGCTGATGAGATGTGAAAAATGCTTTTATTTTGAGTATGGAGGGACAGATAACAGTACGTGCAGGAGGTGTATTGTCTGCTTATTAATATTGTAGTGGGTTAAATTCAGGCACACAACTGGACTTTGAAGGCAACACTATTCATTATCTTAACACAATGGGTAACTCTGAACATTAACAGGATAACGACATAGGGTGGTAACCACCGTTCCTAACTTAGCAAACACACGGGGATACTACATTTCTGGACCAGAGACCGAGGATCGTAGATAGTGGCTTCATCCCAGAGTTGACCCAGCAGAACAGCAAAAACCATTAGGGCTAATAATTAATAGGTAAGGAGTTTGCTTGGACTGAATCAATACTGCTGAAATTATGCCCTCCCAGAAGGTCGTTGGGCTCAATGAGTGTGTATAACAATTACTTTTATCTTTATGCAGGAAAAAAACAGATACAAGGACTCCTATACTTATGAATGAGTTAGGTTCCAGAGGTCTGTTCATAAGTCGATTTGTCCGTAAGTCCAACTTTACTCCTGTCGATTCCAAACATGTTGTACGGCATGTACACTAAACACGTGGCGTGGCTTTAAAAGTTGTATAATCTCTTGTAGATGTTGATCCCACCGGTCTTCACGTTCTGCAGATGTTGATGCCACTGGTTCTTCACGTTCTGCAGATGTAGATGTCACTGGTTCTTCACGTTCTGCAGCTGTAAATGCCACTGGTTCTTCACGTTCTGCAGATGTAGATGTCACTGGTTCTTCACGTTCTGCAGATGTAGATGTCACTGGTTCTTCACGTCCTGAAGATGTAGATGCCACTGGCTCTTCACGTTCTGCAGATGTAGATGCCACTGGCTCTTCGCGTTCTGCAGATGTATATGCCACTGGTTCTGCACATTCTGCAGATGTAAATGCCACTGGCTCTTCACTTCTGCAGATGTAGATGTCACTGGTTCTTCACGTTCTGCAGATGTAGATGCCAGTGGTTCTTCGCGTTCTGTAGATGTAGATGCCACTGGTTCTTCACGTTCTGCAGATGTAGATGCCACTGGCTCTTCACGTTCTGCAGATGTAGATGCCACTGGCTATTCACGTTCTGCAAATGTTGATGCCACTGGTTCTTCACGTCCTGGAAATGTAGATGCCACTGGTTCTTCACGTTCTGCAGATGTTGATGCCACTGGTTCTTCACGTTCTGCAGATGTAGATGCCACTGGCTATTCACGTTCTGCAGATGTAGATGCCACTGGCTCTTCACGTTCTGCAGATGTAGATGCCACTGGTTCTTCACGTTCTACAGCTGCAGATGCCACTGGTTCTTCACGCTCTGCAGATGTAGATGCCACTGGCTCTTCACGTTCTGCAGATGTAGATGCCACTGGCTCTTCACGTTCTGCAGATGTAGATGCCACTGGCTCTTCACGTTCTGCAGATGTAGATGCCACTGGTTCTTCACGTTCTGCAGATGTAGATGCCACTGGCTCTTCACGTTCTGCAGATGTAGATGCCACTGGTTCTTCACGTTCTGCAGATGTAGATGCCACTGGCTCTTCACGTTCTGCAGATGTAGATGCCACTGGTTCTTCACGTTCTGCAGATGTAGATGCCACTGGCTCTTCACGTTCTGCAGATGTAGATGCCACTGGCTCTTCACGTTCTGCAGATGTAGATGCCACTGGTTCTTCACGTTCTGCAGATGTAGATGCCACTGGTTCTTCACGTTCTGCAGATGTAGATGCCACTGGCTCTTCACGTTCTGCAGATGTAGATGCCACTGGTTCTTCACGTTCTGCAGATGTAGATGCCACTGGTTCTTCACGTTCTGCAGATGTAGATGCCACTGGCTCTTCACGTTCTGCAGATGTAGATGCCACTGGCTCTTCACGTTCTGCAGATGTAGATGCCACTGGTCTTCACGTTCTGCAGATGTAGATGCCACTGGTTCTTCACGTTCTGCAGACTGTAGATGCCACTGGTTCTTCACGTTCTGCAGATGTAGATGCCACTGGTTCTTCACGTTCTGCAGATGTAGATGCCACTGGCTCTTCACGTTCTGCAGATGTAGATGCCACTGGTTCTTCACGTTCTGCAGATGTAGATGCCACTGGCTTCTTCACGTTCTGCAGATGTAGATGCCACTGGCTCTTCACGTTCTGCAGATGTAGATGCCACTGGTCTTCACGTTCTGCAGATGTAGATGCCACTGGTTCTTCACGTTCTGCAGATGTAGATGCCACTGGCTTCTTCACGTTCTGCAGATGTTAGATGCCACTGGCTCTTCACGTTCTGCAGATGTAGATTGCCACTGGTTCTTCACGTTCTGCAGATGTAGATGCCACTGGTTCTTCACGTTCTGCAGATGTAGATGCCACTGGTTCTTCACGTTCTGCAGATGTAGATGCCACTGGCTCTTCACGTTCTGCAGATGTAGATGCCACTGGCTCTTCACGTTCTGCAGATGTAGATGCCACTGGCTCTTCACGTTCTGCAGATGTAGATGCCACTGGCTCTTCACGTTCTGCAGATGTAGATGCCACTGGTTCTTCACGTTCTGCAGATGTAGATGCCACTGGTTCTTCACGTTCTGCAGATGTAGATGCCACTGGTTCTTCACGTTCTGCAGATGTAGATGCCACTGGTTCTTCACGTTCTGCAGATGTAGATGCCACTGGTTCTTCACGTTCTGCAGATGTAGATGCCACTGGCTCTTCACGTTCTGCAGATGTAGATGCCACTGGTTCTTCACGTTCTGCAGATGTAGATGCCACTGGTTCTTCACGTTCTGCAGATGTAGATGCCACTGGTTCTTCACGTTCTGCAGATGTAGATGCCACTGGTTCTTCACGTTCTGCAGATGTAGATGCCACTGGCTCTTCAACGTTCTGCAGATGTAGATGCCACTGGTTCTTCACGTTCTGCAGATGTTGATGCCACTGGCTCTTCACGTTCTGCAGATGTAGATGCCACTGGTTCTTCACGTTCTGCAGATGTGGATGCCACTGGTTCTTCACGTTCTGTAGATGTAGATGCCACTGGCTCTTCACGTTCTGCAGATGTAGATGCCACCACCGCCATCTATTGCGCGGCGGTTGAACTTACGACTCTCGGTGCAAAAGGGCAAATGGACTTAACGGACAGGTTTGTTCGCATCTCTGACAGTTCGTAAGTTGAACGTTCGTAAGTCGAATGTTCGTAAGTAGAGGAGTCCGTGGACAGAGTCTTTGGGAAGGCGGTGGTGTCATTGACAAATGTGCTGAGCTATTCTCTTTTCAAGAGGTAAGGGGTGGGGCTATAATGGAGAGGGCGGGGCTTAGGGGAACTGGGCGGGGCTTAGGGGAACTGGGCGGGGCTTATGGGGACTGGGCGGGGCTTAGGGGGACTGGGCGGGGCTTAGGGGGACTGGGCGGGGCTTAGGGGGACTGAGCGGGGCTTAGGGGGACTGGGCGGGGCTAGCGGCCGCAGACGATAACCACCTAAACCGTATCCCTCCGACGCCACAGCCACTTCACTCACTACACAGCGTCCGACGACGTCGAAATCGCACGCCGAACGCCTCGAAATAGCGCCGGCCGACGCGAGCGGCTCACGCTCGTGCAAATGCGGCGCGATGACAACGACTATATTCGTTCCCAACGGCCCGTAAAGGCGCCCGAAGTCGGGACTATTTTCAAGTATCGGAGCGAAAGGTAGTGAACGAGCGGGGCGCCGCCATGTTGCGTCAGGCCTCGGCTTATCGCGCCTCCCCTCGGCTACTCGCAGGTCGGGCCCTCGCTCCCCGCGATTCCCCTCCCCGGTGCGTCGCGAATCTGCGTCCGAACGAGCTTGAGACGACGGCGGTGCCGCGGGTGTGCCGCGAGGATGAGCTTTGCTCGAGGTTGCGTCTCGGAGAGCGGGGGTGGTGGGGGGGAGGCCCTCCAGCCTGGTCGCCGCAGCGAGGTTGTGTGTCGCTCCCGCCCGCAGGGGAATTAGGAAAGTTCGTAGGCTCCAAGCTGGTGTTAGGCCGCAGTTGGTGTTGCTATCAGGTGATGGGTTTCTTAGTTTGCGCTTATTAAATGTTTAGTGAAATGCATCGCCTCTTGGATGATTGTGCATTCATTTTAGCCAGTGTTAAGGACGGCATTAAGGAGGGTTGGTTCTGTTTCAATGCCATGCAGTGGGTTGCGATTCGTGGTGTTTACGTGTGGAGTGCGTTGTGGTATTGTGTGTGTGTGCCGTATACTGTATTGTGTATGTTGTATTTGTGTATGGAGTAATTGTGTGATCCTGAAATCTATGTAGTGTGGTTTGTGGTATGTAATTGTGTGTATTGTCTAATTTGTGAGTTCACTTGGATACGCTGTTGTATTGCGTAGTTTACGTCTGTATGGAGTACTTGTACTGCGGTATGTTGTGTTCGTTGGTGAATATTATGCTTGTACTGTATAATGTATACTTGTAGTGTGTTTTGTAAAGTCTATATGTACTCTGTAGTGTGTATTATGTTTATGGAAAACGTTGGGGGGGGGTGTCTTGTAGTGTGAAAAGGCACTTTTTCGCTCCTCAGATTCCTCCAGTATACATACATATTCTGATTCTGCGTGTATTTTATGTGACTATATTCAGGTGTGAGTGGGTTATTTTTATATTTTATTCATTGTTTTATTTTCCTACGTGACTTTACCGAAATAACCAAGAGTATGGGTTATGTATGTATGTAGAGTACGCTGTGCAGTGTAATGTATTTAATGTGTGATGCGTTTTTTTATGCATGTATTGTGTGTTAATGTATTTGCGTGCTGTTGTGCATCGCGTGTATTTTTGTACCTTCTTGTGTGTGCTCAGTGCATGTGTGATGCATGTTGCGTGTAGTGAACTTTATCTCACACTGCCCAATTCAGATTCAGAAATGCAAAAATACGTTACGGGCGCGTGTCTTTGCATTTCATCTTCGAAAGGCGTTTCCGCAAGCACCGTTCATCCAGTTAATTGCATTCCCACAGGATTCCTGTCACCGAAACGCAACCCCCCAGTATGACCCTACGCCACCCACGTTTTCCCGATAGACGTTACGTGCTCCATGTGAGATGGCCCCACACCTCAGTGCTGTACTTTTTCTCAAGGCTAGTCAGTCTCAAACGAGCTTCGTCACAGTGAAGATCCTCGTGTATTTGTGCTCACCCTGCTGATGTACTCTTCGGTGTTTGACTCGTACACGCAGTGTATGGCCACGAAGTACATGACGAGTGTGTATAATGGACGTGAATGTAGTGCGTTGTGTTGAATTCTATATTCTGTTTTATATGTTATGCATTTTGAGTGCATATAGCATGTGCAGTCTTTATAGCGTGTTTAAACTGCTGAGCTACTAATATATTTATAATACGTTATATAATGTGTGCATAATGCAGTGCGCGTATAAATGTGTATCGTTTACACCACGAATAGTGTTGATTGTGTATATTTTGTGTTTTCAATGTGCACGGTATACCATATATAATTTGTGTGTTCTTTTGCGTGCATAAAGTGCCCAGTACAATGCGTGTGTGGTGTATCTAACACCCTTTATAGCCTCACGTTGAATGCGTGATGTGTGTGGAGCTCTACCTGCTGTCTGCCCGTGGTACTGCACCTTGCCCACGTGGCTCTGTTGTCATGTGAGGCACGTTCTGTTTGCGTCCCACGCGTGGCGGACAACACCGCCCTGCAGTAAGCGCAGTGAGCGGGGGGGACACGCCTTCTTCACCTTGTAGGGATTAGATTAACGCGGCCAATTTGTCCCCAGAGCTCATTGTGTAGGTGGTGCTTTTGTTGTGGGTTTTTTTCTCCTCTTGAGAAGTTGCTCAGTGGTCAAGTTGTTTACCCCACCCATGTGTGTGGCGAGATGTTACTGCCTCGCCTGGCATACAAGGAGGTCGTGGGTTCGATCCAGAATCCTCACGCCTGCGGTTTATTTGGAGTTGACATGTTGTCTCCTCGTGGTCGTGTGGATTTTTCTCTGAGTTCTCTTGTTTTTTCCCCTCCACATTTAGAAACGTGCGATTCAGAGTATTTGGCTACTATTTATTTCCACGCGATAGGCCACTTCGTTGAGGTATCAATGTTGGCGAGGTCGTTGCTGAAAATCTCAGTAGGCCTTTCCTAGTAAAATACAATAAAGTTTAATAGTATTTTGTTTTTGACTGATGATTGGGGTCAAATTCTGAATCAAGAGTCTTCTTGTGAATAAACAATAGGGTGGCATTCTTCTGCATTGGCAGCCCACACTCATTGGTGTAAATTCCACAGTACAATGGTGGTGGCCAGTCTCTCTTAGCATGGTGGCCAGTACCGACTTGGCACAAAGTGAGTTATGTCCTCTTAGCAAAATTAGCTTTAACTATACTACTTTATAAATGTGCACCTTGTGTGATTTGTCGGTGTCTTTATGCGCAAACACATATTTTGTAATCTTGAGCTTGTGGTGAAGATTTCACATTCATATGGGAGGAGCAGTCTGTCCACAGCATTGTCACAGTTCAACTCCCTGCACCAAGTGACGCAGCCTCACAGCGTAGCACTCATTGGTACTGACCCTTGAGGAATGATGATGTTTTGACTGGGAGCCTGCTTGTCTACCAGCTTCACGGGATCCAAATTAATTAGACACATTGTTGTTTGCAAATGTGCTTTATGCCTTTAAACATATCATGTGCATTGTTGTAAAGATATTCTATCATTATTTTCCTTATTGCTTTATAATATATAACTACAGTTAAATAATGTTTTTATTTTCTCAGGAAACTCGTGACAACTTTTTTCACTTTCGAATGTCAGCATGATTTTAGTTTTTTCCCAGTCACGATCCTTTTCTGTGATTGAAATGCAAAGTGAATGTTTGGATTAGGAGGTCATGTAAGAAGTATATTACACTGCAATTTCATAAACCACCAACTACCCTTGTAATGGTTTTTAGACTAATGGCAGCTCGTCAGAAATTATGATTCACCAACTGCCCTTGTTTACATAGGACGGCAATGAACAAATTAATGGTGATGTACTTTTATACACTTAATAAAATTGCACAATTTTCAAACGAATTTTTGAAAAATTGTATTTCTATGTTATTAAGTTACATGTGAATTTAAAATATTTGAATATTGCTATGACTAACAACACGGCCGTTTTTTGCAAGCACCACATCACAGGGTCTTTAACGTTTTTGTTTAGCCTGCAGAGGTCACACTTTGATAAGCATTCCTGCACACTTTCTGCGATTGAAATGACGTAAACAGAATCATTGAAACCACCACTCTTGACAAATTGCTAAGCGTAAGGCGTCCAACACCCCTGCGTTCCCAAACATTCACTACCAGAATATGTAATCTTGCACGAAAGCAAATCTCATTCATTTTAACAGCATGGTCCTCCTACAGACAACAATGTGGGCGTGTATTTTACGCTGCAAACCACACACACATTTAATGTGGTGTGTAGGACATCACGTAGAGTATTATCACTTATCGCGCTTTCCCCTACACTTTAAACGGTTAAGGAAGAGAGTTTTTTCCAGTTATTGTCCAAATATTAACATTGCAGCCTTTCAGGCGAGTAACGATTCACTCTGCAAATATCATGAATTGTCACAGTTCAGCTTTGCATTTCTCATTAACAATCGATTCTTATTTGTCCATGAAAGTAAATGCAGCACATTTAGTTGGTGCAGAGTTTGTTAAGCAGTTATAATCTTCAAATTAATTCTTATTCTTTCCTACATGTCCAATTAGATGCATAAGAAACTTTCTTTTGATGAATCGGTAATGTAACATCCCAACTTGCCTTCCCATTCTTCACTTGCTGAGCTGGTACTGTAGTAACATCTAAAGTGGTCATTAGCTGGCTAATTGTAATTCCTTTTGTTCACTGCTATTAGTTCGTATTTTAAGTTGACACTGCTTTTCCACAGTTTGAATATCAATAGTGGAGTGTTTTGTTTAAATGCATTCTTGTGTTGTGTGTACAGCCTTAATGCGTCATGAGAACTGCTCTCTTGGGTTCTCCAGTTTCCTTCGATACGCAAATCACCCAATGAAGGAATTGACAAAACATAATATTGCAGCATCCTTCTGAAAAAGGCGTGTAGCGAGTCTTTCTTGAAAACGTCACTGCTTATTGTGGCGGCGTAAACGTCCGCTGTATGCAAGCATCAATTCTGTCTTCTTCAGGGCAATGAAGGGCTGTGGAATCAACCCTGTAGTGTTTAACAATTGGAGGGTTGTAAAAGTTGTGACCTTAAATGGACATGTGTGTTGAAGAGAAGGTTAAATGAAGCAGTTGTGTTTTTTACACCACTTGGTACACGTGACCTGGTCAAACGTCGAATTATCTCTGGTCATATGAACTTTGCAGTGGCATTTTATCTTGGTATGTAGCCGAGAACCAAGCGTTGGAAATGTCATGATACTGTGCTAGGATTTAGCCTCGACATGTTGACTTCCCACAAATTTGTAATTATTGTATGGACCCCGGAGGTGTCCTATTGAAATTTTAGCTCGCAGCTTTACCATTGCGAGTCAAGCTCTGTAGCCAGAGCATCGCCTCATGATGCCCGTGGACCACCGTATTAGTGCCCAGAATACTTAGTATATTGATGGTGAATGTAAGGGTGTGTTTACGCTGGAAATAGTGTTTTATTGGCATCACAGTCCGTCGGGGATTCAGAAGAATTGTATCGCTCCCAAGTGGAATGGTGACGCAAAACTTTTGCAGACAGAGGCAGTACATGCAGACATTTCTTAATCTTTCCACACACATGTTCACGCATCTGTAAACAGATGTAGGATATTCTTATTCTTGGTTCTTTCGGTAAAGTCACGTAGAAGGGAAATAATAAAACAATACAAATTAAACATAACATGAAATTCTCACGACGTTTCGGCCACAACGCAAGCAGCCGTCCTCAACGCAAGCAGCGGTCCTCAGGTCTTAAGACGCTGTCTTTCCGACAGCTCTGTTTCTTCACCTGAGGACGGCTGCTTGCGTTGTGGCCAAAACGTCGTGAGAATTTCATTTTATTATGTTTTATTTTATTATTTCCCTTCTACGTGACTTTACCGAAAGAACCAAAAATATGAATCCCTGCATTCACGAAAAGCTTTAAATTCGAAATTCAGATATAGGATGTTATGGGGAACTTAAAAAGTATCACATTGCGTTTTAAAGAGATATTCAATAATTGCTGAAATTTGGCATAGGTATAGTCGAGTCTGCTTATAACTTGTAAATTTGAGGACCCAACATTCTTTAAGTTGTGGCTGGAAAAATTATTGCTGGAGGTTAATTGGTGGTTTGTACCAGACGTTTACCTTGGATTTCATTGGTTTGCTGGACTTGTGATTGTTATTTTTGCCATATGTTGGGTGTCTGTGGGTTTGTTAAGATGTCGCTGCACGATTTTCTGTATTTGTTGCTACTTATTTAGTTATTTCTCGAGACATTTCCTCATTTTTATATTTCCTGTTTGTGGTTTTAAGTGCTTTGAGATGCTGTTTCCGTGATTGTAAGTGATCAAAATATACTTGAATCCTTGTGGTTATTTGAGTTTATAAAGCATCTAAATACGGGAACATTTCAACATATGCTGTTAAATGAGACTCTCACACTTGGATGCGTCTCCCTGGCCATAGCAGTAACTGGGCTATGTTCATCTCCTGTTGGTCAGCATTGAGCTAGGGCCGAAGATATTCCACATTCACATGACCAGTCTCCCAATAATACATCCACTGTTGACTTTCCACAGCGGCACGAATATTTTTCAACAACGGAGAATTTACGATGGACTCGAGGTGGTTTGTCAAATTGCTTGATGAGTCCTTTACATGTGGGAGGAAACCACAGCCCCTCGAAGTCATACACATATGAGAGGATACGGCCTTGATTGTCTTTCACCGATGGATCAGGAACCCACTTGCTGTACTGCAATCTGCCGCCTGGCTTGAAGCTCAGTGGGTTGAGTCTCTCAGCTCATTCCTTTGTGGCTGACCACCCGTTTGCATGACATGTGTATCGTCAAACTAGTTCATGAAGGCCGTCTTTGCCAGCAAAAAAAGTTTTCAATATAAGAATTAACCTGATAGTGATTTTTTTAATCTACGATCAGATACTAACAACTACTAAAATTTGTATTGTTCCGCAAAAAAACTGTTGTTGACGACTTGATTCAGCTTGTTATATTTAAAGACATACCCATCGGAAACCGCTCAATTCAAAGAGTCCGTTATTTTTTATTGGAAAGAACACAAATGTATGAACTTAATACTCTGAGGAGAACCTCTTATCTTTTACCGTTTTCGAACTATTCCGATTTTAACGTACTAAAATGTGTATTTTTTTTGTTCAAAACCGTTTGAATCCGAATTATCTCAAACTAAAATATTGAATGATGGTTCATGTTTATGAGGCACTTAAAATCGAGATTTGGGTGCCTTAAAATGGAAATCTCGGATTTCCAGATTGTTCCTGTTTGCGTCCTCAAAGCTACAAACGTACTAAATTTCAGCTTTCTACCTTGTCGGGAAGTACCCTACAGGTTTTTGAGACCTACATACAGATGAAGGTCTTTATTTATATCAATGACTCGCTTTCCTACCCGTGGAAAGTACCCACATGGCAAATTTCAAGTTTGTTGCATGTCGGGAAGTATGGTAAACATTTTTGAACAGACACATTATCACAACTTGGCCTTTTATATATATGGAGATGAGAATACGCATCTTGAGTGGATGTTGTGCAATAAGCGAGCGGTAGGTGGCGCCTTTAGCACACAGATGACTGTTACGTTGCAGGCTCCTCCCCTGGCTCTGACACGCTTGCTGCACTCTCCACAGCGAAGCCACTACGCGTCGAACAGTTCACCCTCGCACACAATTCAATGAATTGTCTTGCTTTCGGTTTGCATTTCCTTTAAAAAATGTCTCGTATAATTGTTATTGCCTCGTTTAAATAGTGTTTGCTTAATTTGTCTAACTGCAACCGCATTTAATTTTTTGCTATTTAAAAATAGAAATTCTTGGATTATGAGCAGAATAATTTATTTTCATTAATTGATTGAATCAGTGCATCAGACTACTCGAGGGTTCTTGACAAGCTAAACTTTCATAGATCCAACTTGTAGCTCAGGTGGATCTTTATCTGTTATTCCTTTTGAATTCTGTTTTCCAATAATGTGAATTGTTCTGTACAAGGTCTAGTAATACTTTTTATTCAAAGGCACAATATAAATTTGAGCTATTATTACTGTGTGTGAATCTACGTTATTGGCATCTCTTTAAATGTACTGTATGTCTGTGCTCGTTCATGTTTAGGGGCAGTTGTCCCGGGCCTCTCAAAGGTCAAATCACACTTAACATGAGTACCGTGTGCAGTGTGTGTAAATATACGCACAGGGGAGACAATAGCAGCTAGGAATGGATGGTGGAAGCTACACCACACCCTCTTGCACCATACCGGCCTTTATAGGTGCTTGCTCACAGCATTTTGCTCCATCAGTCTACATAGGGTACGCGGGGAATCTCTGTATTTTGCATATGTGTGTGCGTGTGTCTGTGTGTCTTGATCTGTTAGTTGTATGTGCCTGTGTGTGTGTGTGTGCATTCCTCAAAATATGGGCTGTTGTGTAGGTGTACCTGTCTATAGTTGTCGGCTTGTTTCCATGTGCACACATGCATGTCCATCTATACAGGTCAGGATCTTTGTGTAAAACAACGTGTGTGTGTGTGTGTTCATGCTCATGTGCCTATGTGTGGTGACAGCAGTGGGGTCCGGCGCGTGGGACAGGATGTGCTCAGAGGGCCACGGCTCCCGACTGACTCCCAGCACTGGCATGTCGGCCAAGGAGCTCTGCGAGACCGACGACCTGGCCACCTCGCTTGTGCTCGACCAGTACCTGGGCTTCCAGACGCACAAGATGAACACGCGGTGCGTGTGTGAATGTGTACACGTGTGTGTGTGTGTGTGTTCAACCCATGGCACCTGGTTCTTTTGCGTGACCTCCTTCCAACGGGCCTTCGACACTTCACGTCGTCTCAAAGAGCACCTATAACGTATGCACAAATGCCATGGTGACGTCACCCCATCATCTTCTTGGTTCTTTCGGTAAAGTCACGTAGAAGGGAAGTAATGAAATAATAAAAATAAAACATAATAAAATAATGTTCATTCTTCACCTGAGGGGGACGGCTGCTTGCGTTGTGGCCGAAACGTCGTGAGAATTATTATGTTTTATTTTTATTATTTTATTACTTCCCTTCTACGTGACTGTACCGAAAGAACCAAGAAGATGAATCCCTGCAGTCACGAAAGCTTTAAATCGAAAAGTCACCCCATCACTTAGTGGTGAACGGCGATTGTTGTTATGTGTGTGAATTATGGGGAGCTTTTGCGCCTTGATTAGCTAACTGCTGCCAACATCGGCGAAAACTCTCTGAACCGGTTCTGGTCCTCCTCTAGGTCGATTCAGGCTTAAAAGTATATCCATGCGCATTGTGTATTAAACATCAGCATTGGTGGAGACAAAGGCATCCGGGCATGGTTCTGGCCTTGCCACCCCCTCAGGTGCCATGCTGACATTCATAGGTGCTCAATAACAGCATCTGTCCCTACAGCTTGTGTAGGCTGCACAGGTTATCTTTGTCTTTATTGTATGAAAGTGTCTGTGTGTGTGTGCTAAGTGATACCCCAGAACTAAGTCAACGTAAGACTGTCTCTCTTGATTCTCGGGCATTAACACGGAACTCGAAGAATCCTAAACTTACCTTAGTTTCTATAATGTATGTATGTATGTTGAACTTCTTTAGCATTATACGTAGCCAACCGTGCTTATTGGGAGGTGCGGGGGAAGGGCACAAACTAAACATGCAAAAAAATAGCTCACAAAAATAATAATGTCTGCTGTGCACAAGGTCCCACATGCCATCACCTACTTGTTGAAAAATGCAAATTATCGACGTTGACGTAGTGGTAGAGTCGTGCACGTACTGCACGACAAATTTGTTTCAACTCGCGACCCTGCACATCATCAGTGACCAGAAAGTATATGAACCTGTACCGGTCAAATTTAAGTTGACTTTACCTATAACGGAAGCATGGTGAAGTGAGAACCGTGGGGAGATGGGCAGTAGTTGGGCATGGGAACTGGCCACATTGCCCTGCCAACCTCGTGTCTTACTTTGCCCTATTCAGCACAGGCAAACATCACCTTCCCCCCCAGTCTGTGTCACCGATACGGAGGATCTTTGTCTTTGTATGTATGTGGGGAGTGGTAGTGTAGCGGTTCGCGCGTTGCACTACGAACCCAGCAACCAGAGTTCGATTCTCGCTCGTGGCCAACATTGCTAACGAATATCTGAACTGGTCCTGGGACTCCCCTAAGTCGACTCAGCCTCAAATGAGTACCTGGTGCGATGTGTAAACCTCATCACTGGGGACACAAAGGCATCCAGGCCTGGTGCTGGCCACCCACCCCCTTCTGTGCCGTGTCCCTCCTTCACAGGTGCTCGCTAATAGCACTCGCTCTCCCGCAGTCTGTTGAGGCTTTTGTGTGATTCGGTGCATTAGTACATTTTTCAAAAAGCCTATGAGTGGTGAGTGCATATATGCATATGAGAGCGTGACTGTTCGTGAAAGTATCTGTCTGTGTATGCACAGCACAAATCCATGCACTCCAGGTCAAGCTAATACGACAGAGCCATCGTTCACTTCTGCGATTGTGAATTTCACACGTTCCCCGCAGCAGTGGTGCTCACTGAGACAGGATTCTATTTATATGAGAAATGTCATCAGTGCCTGGCAGGCAAATTCTGCAGCCAATTAATGTTTGTGCTCTCCTCACAGTGTCAATGTCATATGCAGTTTGTGCCCATGCTCTGAATCGTCTTATCAACGGGCACTTGGCTCTATTATTAGGAAGTACCTTTATTACACACATCCTTTCACAGTGTACAGACGGATATCAATGTTATCCGTGTATAGCTATAAAAGTTGAACTCACGATATTAAAACGATCAATAAGCCATGTATATTGTATAATTATTCATTCAAATATTATTTATGGGAAAATAATACATAAAGCGCATTAAACTTAATTCGGGTGTTCTTTAGGATTGTTTTTATTTGTGACTATTTTAGGCAAAAAAAAAGTCTGGTATCTGTATTAATAGCAATGGGGAAATTGACCAATGCTAAGATGCAAAAATCTGGCCCGGAGCTTTTTTTTGCTGAGTTTTTAACAGTTAAACCTTCATACGTTCATATGCCTTCATGCTGCAGGTATATCATCACTGATAACCTTCTGCTCTTCAAACAAATTGAAGGTCTCATACTGCTATTGGCAAGGAGGTGACCTGACATTGCTGTGAATCAGTGAATGCTGCTTTTGCAATTAAAATTGCATCAAAAAAGCACAGAACATAAAGGACTCTTCTCACCCTGGACACTCACTGTTTGAGCTGTTGCCATCAGGCAGACGATTCAGATCAGTCAAAACAAGGACAAACAGATTCAAACAGAGCTTTTATCCTACAGCGATCACCACACTCAATAATGCTAATTAATTATTAAGTAATAGTGTTTACAATTGATTGTGAAATAGAGATGTGCAATGACAAAATGTAACCTTATGTGGGTATGTGGGTATACTTGGGCTGTTTTTATATATAGTATAAATTGATTATCTTTCATTTTATTTTATTTTTATTTTCTTGTTTTATTTAATTTAAATTTATAAATGATGCCCTGACTGGTGAGCATTTTAAATTTCGTTGTACTGGTGACAATGACAATAAACGATCTATCTATAACATCTCTTAGCGAATATTACTATCTGGAGCTCCGGATGAATTTGCTTAAACTACAAATCTCCTGATCCACAAACCGATTCTTCTGATTTTTCACAGTTTTTTTTGTAGCTCAGAGAATTCACTCAGAAGTGGTCACACAACCAATACATTCACCTTATTGTCTAAGTTTATTCAAAACTGGGATTAGTCGTAATAAAAAGTTTGCTATTATTTTCATTTGTTTGTGCATAAAAACGCCACCCCGTCCCTCCCACATAACTGCAGTGTTGCACTGTTTGTCTATATGTGTAACCCATGGAGACATAGCATGTGCTATCGTCATTGAGTCTACGTGACAGAAATGTCGCATTGGCAGCCCACAGTTTTTCGGGGACATAGCACTGTGGTGTCTCTCCAGCCGAAGTGCTGGCTGGCATTATCTTGTCATGTTTTGTAAATTACCCTTCCGTCACAGGCATTTTTAACCCGAGCACAGGCTGGGTGGCAATTATCTATTTAAACCACAATTCCACGAAACAAACATGCAACCTGAAATACAAAAATACCCTTTCTTGTAGGTTGTTTGTCCTGGGCTGTCTGGCACAAGATTGAGGTTTTGTTTATGCAAAAAAATATATAGATTTAGCATGACAATTTGTCTCTTAAAATGTGTTCTTTCACTGATGATACATGGACTCTGAATTATACATATAAGATCTATCAACTATTTATGCAAATTGCACACAGCTATGCATGCATGCTAACGTTACATTTAAACAACTGTACAAATCAGAAACAATACAAAGGAGATGTAAAAAATTAGTCAAAATTGTTTGTCAAATTGACTTGCGACTTGAAATTGTGACAATTCATGACGGGTTATACAGGCCGACTTTAAAGTCACAGTTCAGCATGCCATTATAGCACTCGAGTGAAGTCCCTGCCACTTTAATACATTATTAGAGTGCTGCAGTGGTTTGCCTCGCCGTAACTTTTACAATATTTTTTGTTCCCTCATTAACAGAGCTTCAAACTCGTGTCACGCTCTCCGGGACACACAACCTAGGTATGTATCTCCGAGGAAAGAGCCGTCTTGATTTTATTGGCTTGTACCCCTTTCAATGCGGGTGCTCACATTAGCTTTTATGTGCTTTATAGGTGTATTTAAATCACCTTTCATGGACCTACCCCTTAAGTGTGTGTGTGTTTTATATGTAGCCCCTATACATTACATATTATACCTCAAGTAGCTTGCCAACCTGTTTGCCATCTTTGGTTTGCCGAGGCAAATCCAGTTTCTTGTGCCAAGTTTAATTGATTATTCTGAAGGCTGACCATGGGGTACATTTCTGCTGTTTCGTTGTTGGTGTGCGCTTGAGTATATATGTTCCAATGTTTGATGCTTGTATGCACGTATATCATAATGCCCGTCAACGACAAGTGAAATCTGAACCTTTATTTAGCCTCTTTATTATTTTTGAACTTAAATGAGTACCTGGTGCTGTGTGTGAACATCAGCACCGGGGAGGCAATGGCACGCTCTTTGGACATGAGTCCTCCCCACGCTAACCTCCCCCACCCCCCATATGCCATGCCTGCCTTCGTAGATGCCTTATAAAAGCCATAACTCACAAGGACGCTTGTCACTGGCATTAATATTGACTGGCAATAGTCGCTGCACTATTTTCGACATACCTCCATCACGCTTTATTGTTTTCCTACAAGTTTCCATCGTTGCATGCAGTTAATGTGTTAAAGATTGCATTTGATGATTGCCCAAAGAGTGCCCAGTGTATCATGGCTGTACGGGTAAACTTGGTGGTGATCTTTAGCCTCATGTATGTACATGCGTGTTGGGGAGTGGTAGTGTAGTCGATAGCGCAATGCACTCTGAACCCGGCGACCCGAGTTCGATTCCCGTGCATGGCTAACCTCAATGGTGAATCTAAACTGTTCCTGGGGCTCCCTCCCCTAGGTCGACTCAGCCTGCAATGAGTACCTGTTACGGTGCATGAACGTCCCCACGAGGGAGACAAAGCCGGTCCGGCATGGTGCTAACCCATAGCCCTTCGGTGCTCGTTTACAGCAGTTGTCCCCAACAGCCTGTGCATACTACGTGGGATTAGGGCTATCTTTGTCACTTGGTTATATAAATACACACGTCTTCCTGGCTGCCAATCTTAGTATGCCATACCGATGTCCTAATTAAGCTGACCATTGTGTGTGTGTGGTGCGAGGCAGGTTCCGGCCGGTGAAGGGCCGCCGCGAGGAGCTGCGCAAGGTGGCGGAGCAGCTGCGTGTGGACGGTGACGTGGAGAAAGCGTACCGCGCGCTCAGCGCCCGGGAGTGGCCGCGCAACCACCTGCTGCACAAGAGCATCTTCAAGGAGCACGTACGGCATGCAGGGCCACGCATGCACGCAGCCTGCTCGCCGGAGCAGGGGACCCGATCCTCCTCGGGCCGATCCTAGCCCGGATCGACCACGATCTTTATAGCGAGTCCTAGAGCTGGGAGTGGGGGGGGCGGCGGTCCGTGCCTTGCCAGCGGTCCCCATGAAGAGCGTTGTAGTCCAGCCTAGGACCACTCGCTGTGGGCGTCACTAGGCCTAAACATTTTAATGTATGATGTGCCCTCTTAATGTTCCCCAATCTAGCCATCTAAATCCCTAACCCCAAAGGTATAGAATGGGTCCAGCAGATTAGCATGGTTGGCGACGTACGGTGCGGAAGAAGTTCAACATACTTACATGCATTAAAGACCTCGCCTGCTCCTTGAAGGTCTCTCGTGACGAAGCCATGTGAGCCGAGCCGTGTGTGTTACGAGGCTTGCAGTCACACACACACAGCCTCGGGTCACCGGCAACTATGGGAAGGTCGCAAGTTAAAATCCTTGTTTGGGATTCACTCGGGCCACCACCCCTCTGGGCTCTATAAAGTCGGTACCGCTTTGTGGAAAAGTCAACAGTGATTGCCCTATGAATAGGTGAAAATGACGATTTTTCTTCCAATGGCTCAGGATTTTAAATGGGAGATGAGGTTCACTTCAATGCTCAATTGAGTGAGAAATAACTTTGGCACATGTACAAATACGGAGGCTTTTCTTCAGAGCAGAGGGAGGGCTGAAAGACTGACTGGCCAAATCTGGCCTCAAACCTTAAAAATGCATTCATTCTGCCTATTCCCTACTGAGAAGGTTGGACTGCCCGTAACGTTTACATCTACGAGTCCCGTGAGCAAACGGGAGCGTTCCTCATCTTGACAGCGCCACTTAATCTCTCTCCTCTTTGCCAACTGCAGGTTCTCCGCTACCTCCGCATATTCACGGCGGAAAGCGGCTTTGAGATCCAGCAGTGCACGCGATACTCATCGGAGAAAAACGGCGCCAAGGTGGTGGCCACGCGAGAATGGTTCGTTCAACCGTTGGGGGGTTTTTGTGTGCACGCTTCGCACATCGCACACACAACGCCTCGCAATCATCACTGTTTGCACCGGATAACAAATCAACAGGGAAGGGTGTCTGTCCATCCTCAAAATAGAGCAGCATTTAGTGCTAATTATACAAGAGCAAGCCATTGTGTAGCTGTGTCATTGCTAGATTTATTTTTTCTTCCTTCTGATATTTGGAAACCACTGGAGCTACGCACTTGTGAATTTAGATTGAGAACTTATTTCTTTCGAACTGCTTTTTGTGTTTAGTTTGTTGTTTTTCCCCCACACCTCCGATTACCATGGTTGGCTACATATGGTGCGAAGAAAGTTCTACATACATAAGTATTTATTATTTTTGTGCTGTTAATGCATTCGAATGCAATAATTAAATAAACGCAGCGCTGCATACCTATGGGGTTTGTGAAGCAAGCATCACTTTGTGAAAATCCAACACGAGATGTCCAGTATTGTGTGACTGGCCCCTGCCGTATGAATGTGTAATTCCCTCCGCCTGTTTAAGGTCAGAAATGTCGATGAGAGCACTACCTCGTTCTCTCGGGTGGGGTGGTAACACGTGTTTTTCAATAGCGCATTTGTGGTGTTACTCCATTGATAGTAAAACCTGCCAGTGCTTGGTAAAAGCATTCTGTGCTACGAAGACTGCCAAATGAGTGGCTCTTACAAAGGTATATTGAGTGTCTGTGGTGTCGAATTGTATATTGAAGCCTTTTTTTTTTAAACACGCACATACACAGCAACTTTTATTTGGTGAGATTAACATGTGCTCGATAGCTTGCGCAGTGAAAAAATATCCCGTGCTGCACGTTGTGTGAGCGTTGGTCTCTGAACGTTTGGTTCTGACTTGATGCCAACAGCGATATTTCTTGTTAAGCAACGGAAAGCATTACCGTTCTACTTCACGAGCCAGCATTTAAATAAATTGCTCGTTTAATTCATTATTAAGTGGAGCACCGTTTTCGTGCCATGGAACCAAGAATTATGTTTTGGATGTAGTTTATAAGTGCATATGCCCTTTTATCAATTATCAGCTATTTGGGTCCTGGGGGTGCCCTCCACCAGCAGTGGATTTACCAAAGGTCCATACGTATACATGTTTTTGGGAAACGCATATCAGTGGCATATGTAGTATCTTAACCTGTGTTTTGCTTTCATTAGCTTGCCTTTTATTCTCCCCAGTATGAGCATCGGCACGGAGATTAAAGCAACTGGCCGGGCTTGGTGCTAGGTCGCAGCCTTGTTGGCCTTAGGGCTCGCCAACAGCGCTTGTCCCTTTGGACGAATTTAGTCTTAACCTCATGCTGGGGTCTTCGCTCGCAGGAAGAAAAACGAAAAAATGGAGCTGCTGGTCGGCTGCATCGCAGAGATGACGCCCGAGGAGGAGGCGCTGCTTCTACGGCACGGCGAGAACGACTTCAGCGTCATGTACTCGACGCGCAAGAACTGCGCACAGCTCTGGCTGGGCCCAGCCGCCTTCATCAATCACGGTGTGTGTGGCGCTTTGTCTCTCGACGGAGCGGACTGGGGTGTCCATTTCTTCCACCCCGGCGGTCACGTCACTTGTTGGTTTCGACTATAAGTCATCGTCCCTTCCAGCGACATGTCTTTCCTAAGCCCAATTGCTTGTCTTAACAGGCAATTTGATCTTGATTTAAAGCTTTCGTGACTGCCGGGATTCATATTTTTATTGTTTTATATTAATATTATTTTATTATTTCCCTTCTACATGACTTTACCGAAATAACCAAGAATATATATAGTCAATTTGATGTTCAGGTCAATGTTATTTTTGTTTACATGTGCTGCCTTTATTACTCTGATCCATGTGTTCCACTTTTCGTCTCCTAAATATGATTCCAAGCATGCACCATCTGCATGCTCTTTTTTGTGAACTTTTCAACTTTTGTTCCAATTCTTTTGCCCCAATTCTTTTGCCATTGTTTTTGATCCAGATGACCTCGATGACAATATTTCATATATGTTTACTTGATAAAACAAAATAATATTAAAGTCAACAAGATTATTATTTTTGTCCATAATAAGTAAAACAGTTCATACTCATAACTGGTATATAAAATAGGTTTTTTTCCTTGATGTGTTTTCAAATGTATTGGTTTACTCTGCATTGATGGATAAATAATACATCTACATATAACAATCTTCCATCAGGGACATCAGCTCTAATAATAATGCTAATGTGAAAACAACACATAAATCACATTACAGTAACACCAACTGCCTATTGCAGAGAAACACATCTGTTTTGTAAAGTGACCAGTTGCTGAAGTCGCGTGACTTAAAATAGGACATTTATATTTTTTTAAATTTTCCCGCCACTTAATGGGAGTCCAGTGAATGCAACCTCGCAGAGCTTGTGCAATTCTGAAGTAGCTTTGGATGGTTTGCTGGGGGAAATATACAGTGGAAGAAAACCCTAATAGTAATGTTTAAATCAGGCCAAGGTGTAGCTGTGCTTAGAGCACTCAACTCTCAATCAGAAACGTGTCAAAATCCTCGTTCCGTCAGGGATTGACCCGGCCCATCATTCCTCCAGGGTCGATAAAATACGTTGAACTTTCTGGGAATTTAAACAGTGGCTTGCCCTGTTTTGAGATTAGGCCCCCACGATCGGAATGCGGAATTTTCATCACCAGCTTATTTCCACCACTGTAGATGAGACCTGGCTCATTGCTTGCTTGAGCAGGGATACACTTTAGCTTAAGTCCTAAAAGCCTCGTGTTCCATCGGCTGGGATTGTGGCACCCTCTCACGTGGAACTAAAATCTGAAGCTTAAAAATTGGGACGTGTCCCCATAGCTCTATGCACACCCTGTTCCTATTTCAAAGAAGATGAGCAGCCATGAAGCTGTGTGACGACAAGCAGATTAGTGTGCATAAAATTTATTATTTTAATAAGATTGTCCTTGTCTGCCCGAGCTTTCTGTTTTCACTTTAATGTGTCGGAGTGACATAGCCTCGTTGTGGCGACGCTAGCAGCAATGGCAATGAAAAAATGCATTGTCTCGGAGAAGAAGGTCATCTGCATGATTTACAGAAGCTGGCTCGCACAGCCGAAAATCGATGCATTGTTCTAGGCCACAGAGTCGTTACAATTTTCCATACGGCGTGCATTCACGTTTATTTTCAGCAACGCTCTGTTCCTATCCATGTTGGACATCGATTGTTAAAATAACTTTTGAAAATATCAACGCTGCCTTGAGTTGACTTTTGAGTGGCCAGCGAAATTAAGCCTTGTGCCGGAATCCCTCGACATGCGTGGTTGTAATGCATGTATCCTACTGTCCGAACTACACACGCGTTTGATAGTAAAGCCAGCCACGCGTATGTGACCTTACTCACAGGGTCTGCTGGATGAATGTGTAAATGCTGCGATGTTAATTGGTATTGAATTTTCTATTTGCTTGGTCAGGATTAATATGACACGGGGTTGGCTGCACATTGCTCATCAGTTTTATCCAACAGCACAAACAAGCCCCATGCAGGCCAGCTTGGGACACTGCTTCCCCTACCTTTACAGGTCTAGATCAGTTGGGCTCTTGAGTTGTAAGCACTGCCATTGAATCCTTGGAATGTACATGTGATTCATATAGGCTTAGAAGTTTGTGGCAGCCCAACACTATTAAAGCGCACCAGTTGTGAAGTTATTTCTTGTTCGTAACATTGATTAAATATAATTATTTAAGTGCATGCATGGTGTATTATTTACTGCCTGCGCTTTGCGTTGTTGAGTGTAACCCCAGATCAATTGTTCTTAACCATCAGCTTTCACTTCTCATCGGTAATTTTATTTTGGCTCGTGCTTAAAAGGTGCTGTGGTAGCGATTAAGACTTTCTTTTTAGACACAACGAGTTGCAGTTAGCTGCCTGGTTGGTGTCACCTATACTGACATGCTTTGTTGTTGCACCACTCCCATATCAGATGCAAACCTTTCTCTCAACCCTCTGACATTTATCTGTGACCGACGGTAATGATGTGTGATGGAAGCTAACCAATCTTTCCTGTTTCTCTCCATGTTTATGCTGCCACGCTGTGCGCTGCAGATTGCAGGCCAAGTTGCAAAGTGAGTAAACGGAGCACATTTTTAAATTTCCATTCTCGGCTTTAACAACTTGACGATATCAACGTTTGCGGCGATTTAAGCGATTGGGTAATTTGCATCGTTTGAAGCGCCATATTTAAATTCTCAGCAGCTCTCACGCTATATTTTTCACCTGATGACGATTGCTTGTGTTACGATCGAAACGTTATTTTTATTATTTGTGCTATCTACGTGGCCTCATCGAAAGACCCAAAGAATATGAGATGATTGTTATATAAGGAAGTGTCTGTCGTCGTTGCTGTGCTGCGCGCGTGCTCAGTTTGTGTCGACGGGACGCGACGCGGCGTGCGTGCAAGTGCTGCGTGATGTGGATCCCGGAGAGGAGATCACGTGCTACTACGGTGACGGCTTCTTCGGGGAGAACAACGAGCTGTGCGAGTGTCACACGTGCGAGAGGTAAGGTGTGGTGCGGTGACGCGCAGTACCACGCATGTGTGCATTGCTTCATCAGCAACGCTCAATTATCCACAGTTATGTCAGGCTGGTTGGCCCTTGGAATAGGACGGAAAATGTTCTTCATCTCCATATATATATTTGTGTGTCTGTTAAAAATGTTTAGTGTACTTCCCGACATGCAACAAACTGAAAATTTGCTATGTGGGTACTTTCCAGACTGTACACCATGCAAAAATTATAAAAAATACTTTTTTTGGGGGGGGGGAGCTGAAAAATGCATATCTTTTTTGCACAGCAAGTGAGCTGTGACATCAAATCTGTCACGTGACCCGCGCATGTGGAAGCGTAACGCATTGTAGTGTAGTGGTTAGCACGCTGCGCTACGAACCCGGCGACCCGAGTTCGATTCCCGCTCACGGCCACTACCGGTGATAATTATTTGAACCGGTCCTGGGCCTCCCCTAGGTTGGCTCAGCCTCAAACGATTAACTGCTGTGGTGTGTGAACATCGCCACTGGGGAGACAAAGGCGGCCTGGCGTGGTGAATCCAAGTCCCGGGTGAAGCCAGGTAGTAAAGCGAGTATGTAATAAGTTAAAGGTTCATTGGTCAGGTGGCAAAAAAGTTATTCATATATTTTAGATCTTATGGCTGAAGTGGATGCAGAGCAAAAACTACAATTTCATATTCAACTGGTCAAAATGGACGATATTGGAGAGACGAGTTCCCATTGTAGTAATATGGAATGACCACCACTGGCTCAGAAGAGCCAATCGAGATGAACGCTGCCATTACTAAAGTGAGCAGGAAAACACAACTTAGGTCAGGTTAACATGTTGTGTAATATTTGTTATCACTACAAAATCAACAAGGGGCAAATCACTAAAGCAATGTGTTGTGGCCTTCTCATCAACATGTGCAGGGGTTGGGCAACTAAAATTACAAGAGACATTTTTTTCGAATTCGGTAAAACAATTCGTAATTTCTAAAGCCGCAATGAATATGAATACAAGACGGTCCTTAATAATTAACCTGAAGAAGCGGTCTTTAAAGAGCCGCATATGGCTCCGGAGCCGCAGGTTGTTTCCCCTGAACATGTGAATCTACCAGTTTTTTTTAAATTCTAAAATGCATAGCTTTGTCATAAATCAGTGATGACACACAAAAAACAAGTGGACACTGAAACAATGAAAATCACGACGTTTCGGAGGCAACACAAGTCTCCGTCATCAGGTGGGACTTTACCGAAAGAACTAAGAGTATGAATCCTTGCAGTCACGAAAGCTTCAAATCTAGAATGGACACTGAAACATGCGTAATAGAGCTTTGTATCCACCTGCCAATTCAAACAGCCACTTGGCTAAGCAACACACACCTCCACCTTGCTGAGAGCTGAGCCCAACAGAAGGGGGGGGGGGGGACACGTTCCACGCGAAACTGACAGCGGCGCTCCGTGTTTGTTCGCTCTGCTTGTGCGTTTGCAGGCGAAGCCAGGGCGCCTTCAAGCCCAAGGACGGCTCATCGGAGGCGCCGTCGAGCGGCCTCAACAGCGCGTACCGCCTGCGCGAGACCGACAAGCGGCTGCACCGCCTCAAGAAGAGCTGCGTGGGTGGCAGGGATTCTGCCGGGAGATATTCCAGGATGCCCGGCGGCACCGACACCCAGCGCAGCGCGCGCCGCCTTCTCTGTACGCCGTTCGCTCCCGTCATTAACGAGCGGCCACCAGTTTCGGCTCGTGAACATCAGTCGTGCGCGCGCGCGATCGCCAATCATTTTCCGTTCTCGTTATCGTACCGCGTATTCTTCTGAAGCTTTCGGTACATGTACGGTGCCTGTGTCCATCCACTGCCGGATGTGGCCCTCCCCACGCTGTGTACGGCTCGTGTGGGTTATTTCACTGTGCATGATGCTGGACAGTGTGGGCATGTTCATCGTAATAAAAATAATATCATTTGCAAAATTACAATTTTTTCAAATTTATTTGACATGTACGTAACACTTTTATTAAAGGCGCAGTAAATGCACTTGAGAATGTAGACCGTTTATATTGACGTTCTTCCTAATTTGAAAATATGTTTTCCACCTGTCCCCAGTGTCTGCTTGTCTCAGTTACTAGCAACCACTTAATTTGGTCTCTTCCAATACAAAAGTTTGGCATTTGCCTAAAATCATTTATAGTATTCATATTCTTAGGTTTTTTCGGGTAAAGTCACGTAGGTAAAACATTAAAATTAATAAAAGTAAAATAAAATAAAAATCACAACGTTTCGGAGGCAACACAAGCTTCCGTGGCTGTGACAATTCCACCTGAAGACGGAAGCTTGTGTTGCCTCAGAAACGTCGTGATTTTTATTTTATTTTTATTAATTTTAATGTTTTACCTACGTGACTTTAACGAAAAAACCTAAGAATATGAATCCTTGCAGTCACGAAAGCTTCAAATCTAGAATTTATAGTATTGTCATGTTTACTTGGTGTCATTTTAACCATTACACATGTTAATATTTTTTTTATTCTAATAACTTCTGCCAACACAGTTAAATAATAAAAATCTGCAAACCTCTCTAAGTTTTATAACAGTGCATGCCAGAGCCTGAATTAATTTTTTCTAAAACTGCTACATTCCAAAATCAGCAAGTTCCTCATGATTGGTGGTAAAAACTATTCTCAGCTGCTATACAAAACCCATGGTCCCCTCATCATAGTGAGCAATATCCTGAGAGTCAAAGCAGCAACAACAACCACATATACCGCTGATTAAAACTATAGTAATGAAGGCGGTGGAAGCTAAGGGAGTTCTACTGTATGGATACAGTACTTACCATTACAGATTCTTCATCACTGCAAATTCCTTACCCAGCGATAAGACGCTCTCAATATGGCCCATGCTCCCACAGGCGACTAGACGCAAGTTGAGAACCCCTGCTAAGAAAACATTTGCTAACAGGATTATGGCAGTGGCAGCACAAGTATATGATCACCATACAAGTTTCTAAACTTGCCTGTGTCTCATTGCATATAGTGCACAAGTATGTAGGAGATGCACACCTCAGGAGCTAGGGGGAAGATTAGGAATTATTAGGTTAACAAGACCTCTGATTTGTGACCATCAATAGCAAGTTTTATCTGAGTTGTTCCTGGGACTCTCTGCGACCTCCCGATGGTCTGGCAAAACAATCCCCAATACCAATGCAGTATTGGGACACCTTCATCCGGCAGGGAATTGACCCAAAGGGGCTGTGCATTATTCTTACAGCTTAACCCGGTGACGCAACATCCTTAAGAGAGAAGCTTAACCACTGGTCTTGGCCCCATCTTCTCTCCCTCTCAATCCTGCAGCCAATGCCAAGAACGCGTGCACGCCCAAGAAGACGACACGTAAGGCGCGGGCATCGGCGAACAGGCCGCCACGCACGGCCTACAGCAGCCACCACGGCGGCCGACTGGCGTTCCTCCCCTCCGGAGAGCACTTGACCTTCGACGCTGTGGAGCTGCTGGCCACCGCCATTCGCCTGCGCCAGCCGAGCCGGCTCGTGCCTCGTGACGGGCGACCGGCGCCGCCGTACCGCTCGCCCGCCGGCCTGCGCGCCCCCGCGGCACCGTGCGACGAGTTCTTCCCGTGCGTGCTGCTCGCCACGGCGTCACCTGCCGGCCCCGCCGTGCCCCCGCGTTCGCTCAAGCGCTGGCTCTCGGGCGGCGGAGACGGCGGGGGCAGAAGCGACGGCAGGGAGCGGCCGAGGAACGGCCTGAGCGGGCTGGCGACGGTCGGCACCGCTCGGCTGAAGGCGCTGCTGCAGCAGGCGCTCCTGCGACAGCCCAAGGTGGTGCTGATTAAAGACCCGGCCGTTGAGCGGCTGTGCCGCGGCGGGCGGCGGGCGCGCGACCCCGCCGCGAGGCCGGCTCGTGTCGGGGAGCCCGGCGGCCGTGGCAACGGCGCCGACGACGGCCGTCCCGTGCCTTCGCCGGCGTGCGGGGCTCTGGCCGGGTGCAGCGAGGTGCTGGCCGACGCCGCCGACGCGCTCAGCCTGTGCAAGGCGCCGTTGCAGGCGACCGAGGCGAGCGACGCGGCCGGGGGCTGCTTGCCCCCGTCGCCGGCGTGCGGCACCAGCACGGGCTTCGGCGCCGGCGGGCGAGCGGGTGCGCTGCCCGCCGAGCCTGCGGTCTCGAATGCGCGCGAGTGCAAGGCGAGGGCGGGCGAGGCGTACGGCACCTCCGTGACTCCGCCACCCAAGCGCTTCCCGCTGCTGCGCATACCCCCCGCGGGGCCCGGCTCGAGCTCCCGGAACGTCGCCTGGGAGCCGCCCGGCAGCACCGCCGCCGCCGTAGCTGCGGCCCCCTTTTCCAGCAATCTGGTGGCTGACATCGAGAACTGGATCCTGGAGGGCGACCCGGACTTCGACTCGGATCTCCTCAAAATTGTGGCCGGCGCGGGGGCGGCCACCCCACGCTCGAGTGTCGGCCGGAGCACGCCAAGACCGGACGGCGATTGTGACGTCGGCGGCGGTGGCGACGGCGGCGACGTCGATGGCGGCGACGCCAGGCGGAGGAAGCGCTCGTCGGGGAGACCGGTGCGGGGAGATGGAAAGCTTTTGCGGCTCTCGCCCCTGAAACGAAACGCGTGCGGCGGCGGCGGCAAGAGGGGCAGCCTCGGCACCGCCAAACCTCCCATGCCCTCGCCACCGGCGGCAGCAGAATTGCAGACGGGTGGCATCGCCCCAGAGAGGCGAGGGAACTCCAAGAGGCGGCACAGCGCGGACGAGTACCAGGCGGTGCTGGTGAAGAGCGATGGCGTCGTCTCCACCGCTACCACCACCACTGCCACCGCCGCTACCACCCAGCACCTGGAGGGCAATGACTCTAGCACGGTCGTCCGGGCACAGTTGCCCAAAGTGCGCATTGTGCGGCTCAGCGGAGGCTTGCACAGCGCTGCCAGCTACGGAAAACGAGGCCGTGGCTGCAAAAAGGTGTTGGTGTACAAGTCGATCGGACCGACGGGCCCCACGCAGCTACGGCTGCGGTTGCAGAAGCGCAAGATCCGCAAGCACAGCTCCACGCGCAAAGACGTGCCGGAAGCGGAAGCCACCATCGCCGCTCCCGTGAGCGCCGCCGGACAGGCGGCAGCGGCGGTGGGGGCACAGGCTCACAGGCGGGGTGGATCCTCGCAGAAGAGGGGAACCGCTGGGGTGGACGTGCCTGCGTTCCTGCCGTTCTCACAGCCCAAGCGGCTGCGCCTCATCCTGGGCAAGGAGTCGATTGACATTGACATTATGGCACGCTGCCAGGCGGGGATTTAGTACAGCAGCGGTGGGAGAGAGAGAGACATGAGGACTTGTTCAATAATAGATGCTGCTTTCTGTTTGCAGACATTGTCAAGCGTCTGTGAGTATGGCTGAGCTACGTGTCGTCACCGTGTTTTGGGATGAAGCTGACCACATTCATCATGGTCACTGCAAAATCTTACTGCAGTAAACACATATATCATATAGAAACGCCCAACCACCCATCATATTCAAGGACACTTACTATTATCTTCTCAGAGTAATTTCCACTTTTTCTTTTAAACAACCCCTGTTCCACACATTTTCAGCAAGTCATTGTCACACAATACATTTGGCTGAGTTGGGCTCCATTCACACAGGGCTGGCAAAACTTGCACTATGACCGGCTCGGTTTATTCAAGCCCTGCAGGAGACACTTTGCTTTTGTTTGTGAAAAATAGAGGGTCGGTGGCCCAATGAGATCAGTGTGGGCGTGGCACAGATGGAGGATGGTGTGTATTTTCAAAACGTGTTGTGTTTTATTGTTTGTTATTGCTCCTTGAATCTAAGTGCAAGGTCACCTCCATATCACAAGCATTTGAAGTCAGGATTGTCCTATTTCAAGGCACATTGATCAGTCGGCTTTTTAAAAGACATGCAGTGTTCTCAGAATGCCGTGTCTTAATGGCTAGTGCCCTTCACAACCCTGCTCAGAAATGTCACTTTTTAATTTCTCCAAAAGGTCACGTGCTTGAAGCCAATCTTGAGTCAACAATCGCCTTTTTTCCCCCCTCATCTTTGTCTGCAAACATGTGGCAGTAATAGCAATTCTCCATTGACATGGTGGTGCTTAGGACAACCAATGTTGACTGCCCCCAAAGTGGTGCTCCTTTTATTGACTGGGGAGGGATAATGGGTGACCGAGTTGATCAAACTAGAATTTAAACTCCGTAACCCGATTGCTGGTCAGTCATTTTAACAACAGCACAAAGGCGCACACCTAATGTTAAACTACATCAGTTTTGGTGCTCCGTGGTTATGACAAAACTAAGACAAACAAGTTCATATTTTTTAAGCAGCAGCTAATCATCTTATGGATGTAGATGCAAAAGTGGTCAATAATTTACGGTGCCATTTTATTTATTTATGGCATAAAAGTGACCTCTCTAGTGTCCCCGTGGGCCCCGACAGTGACAGATTTGACTTGCATTGAGTTCAGACCACACACGGAGTGCCATCACCTCTGACTAGGCACTCTTCTCGTAAAGCAGAGCAACTTTGCTTCAGTTGATTGCCAATTATGATTTAATCTTTTACAGCATTTTCAAACGCCCCTTGCACGTGAACCAAAATAATTAAATTGAAGTTTAAACACAGAAATTTTACCTGCTTTGATTTTACTTGAAAGAGCGTTGGCCATGGTGGCCATATACCGTATTTGGTTACTGGTGTAATGATGTTACGATTGTTAATTTAAATGTTTTTTATAGTTTTTGTCGGTGTGCAGGGTTGATCTTGTGAGTGTCCACCAAGGCTGTTGTAAACCTTTCCAGTGGCAATGCGGTGTGAGTGGTTACTGTGCATGCATCAACCTGCGTTCAAATGAGAGGTGCTTTGACTTTTGACGAGTTACAACTTGCAGCAATCCGCTATCCGTGCAGAAGGATTAGCCAATTGTTCATGTAAGAAGTGTCCTGGAAAATATTGATCGCACAAAATATAATTTTCCAGAAAGTTGAGTTTCATCCAGATTCGGTGGATTGAGCGAATGAACAGAGGGAATGATGTGAGGAGATGCAATAAAAACTGGCAAAAAGTGAGTTTAACAAGGTGTTAAGATGTTCAAACACCAAATATAAACCTTTTGCAAGGAATCAGGTTCGCGCTAACCACACGTACTTGTGGTTAACATGCAAACCAACATGTTCTGATAATGTATGCATTGTCTTTGAAACTACACCAGACAGCCTTCTATATAGGGCCTAGACTCACCAGTGTCAGAACAGAGAAAACTTCATATATTATCACAGTTTGCATGTTCACCACAAGTACGTGTGGTGAATGCTGACTTGATTCCTTGCGAAAGGTTTCTACTTGGTTCCAATGAGGTTAGTGTGGGGTATATTAAAATGAGTGTCGACTTTTTCCAGGACGATCCTCATGTGAGTATATTTTGTTCCTTTTGCTTACGGATTGCTTTGTTTTGTTTGTTATACTAAAGTGTGCCCAGCCAAATGAAAAGGTAAAATTATGTATGGCGTAATCCTTTACGTAGCAGCAATGGGGTCTGTACATTGACTCTACAAATCGAGCCTCTTACCAACACCGTTATTGTCGTCGTGGTTTTGACTGTGCGATACTCTAGCTGTCATTGTGGTTTATTTGCAACGTTCAATATCTTGATACTGGCAAAAGGGTACCGGACTGCAGGTGTTCTAACGCGTGACGTCATTCGAAAAGAATAGGCCCATTTGTGTGACGTGGGTTAAGGTCCAAATTTTACATTTTAAAAATTACCTGCAAATAATTCAATTAGGATTCCACTGAGAAGCATTGCCCTCTACTGTGAAACTTAGCACCTTCACAGGAGCCTTGAACTATAAGAATCGTGCAATTACCAAATGTTCTCACTCCTCAATTTTTGTTATGCCCCCTGCCATCTAAAGAATTATTTTCTGTCATCGTTTTGTAAGCTGTACCAAGCGCCCTTGGGTGAAGGCACTCTATCAATTAGATTATAACATAGTGCAGTGCAGCAGGGCAGGTGCAGCACTTTGACCAATCACGTGAAAAAGTCTACAGTCAATCGGAGGTGAAACCAAATGTTATACATCACCATCAAAACCTTCTCTGTTAATACATGAGCACTGATAATACATGTACGACAGCATTGTTTACCATAGCGACATGCCAATACATAGTTGCTCCAGTCGATAATTTGGAACGTAAAGGAATGCAAAGGACAATTTGGCGTCGTCAAGTTTGTTAAATGACGTATTTGGCTGTGCTTGTTCCAACCTGCCAAGGGCCTGCTTAACGTGGTGGCACAATCGTTACACGACGGCTTTCTCAGATTTCAGTGATGCGCTTAATCCGCTGCATAATTGCACCTGGGAAACTTCTGTTTTGTTCGAGAGGCCCTATGTGTTTTTTTACACACTCCGGAGCCATACGATGAGGTGACTGGCAGGAGTTTGTGAATGATTCATATGGCTGTACCAATACTGCTCAAGTTGCAAATCTATTGCGGGAACTTTGCATACCGCCACCACCGATATTGGTGTGAACCATCGTAACGAATGCCTTACTCATTAGCAGTGTCTGAACTCTGCTGTGGTAAAGGTGATGCATTTAGGTAGTCAAGTAGTTTTGAGGCAGGGTGGATGAATCGCACGCAGATGCAGCCCTCGGTTGCATTAGATGCGCATCAGCGGGTGCCCTTAGCAGACAGGAGAAGACAATGCAGGAAGTAGATTTGCTGACCCATCTCCATTTTTATTATCTCCTCGTACACATTGGGTTTGTTTATGCACTCCAGTTTCCTCCCACGCACAAAAATACTCGAAATAAGCCAAACATCCAAAGCAGCATCCTCCTGAGAGCGAGTCATAATAATATTTTTTAAAAATTATCAGAGATAACCCTGGATTTTTTTTCAGTGACCCAAGTATTGCCTGTGTCATCACCACAGCGATTAGGAAAATAACATCACGGAGTGAACGGTGGCATACGAATAGAGATCGCCTGTGTAAAGCAGCCACTCTGGAATGCCAAGGCATTCAGTGCATCATGCAAGTTGACTTAAGCGCTAAAGTGTCCAACAAATGTTGCCGCTGCTTGGCAAGTTTAAATATAAAATGTAGATCTACTTATGGGCTGTATTTTGCATCTCCTTGGATACGAGAGCCTGCTTTGGATTCGGGGTTTAATAGGGATGGTGGTGCATGGCTGCTACATGCTACAGGTGCGGCCACACATTTGGTTGTACGAACAAACATGATCGCTTAAGGCTGAATGCTCCCGCCATTCAGTTCTTCAGTGTCGCAGCTCGCTTAGTCATCAACACACAGTACCTCTCCTCCTGCCTTTCTCATCATGGCTGCATGTCTAGGGTGGCGCTGTGGTTGGACCTCTCGACTTGTATTTGAAATTACAGATTCATTTTAGTTTGGGGTGGGGGGGAAGACTCGGCCCATTCTATTCTATAAGATGAGTACCACTTCGAGGGTATGTAACAGTGGTCATCCTCTGGCCCCTGCCAGGGTTATGTGGCATTTCTACCCAGGCTCAATGTCATCAAATTAGAGATGAGTTCCATGCCATTACTCTGTTGAGCAAGAAGGCACTTCACTTTTGACGTGTGTGTGAGAGCAAAACATACATTCTATTGTTGTTTTGCCTTGTGTTCATAGCTCATCCTGTGATTGATTATGCACCTCCGAATAGCATGGTTGGCTACGTACGGTGCGAAAGAAGGTCAAGGTCAACGTGAAAATATGGAATTGCCACTTTCTGAACGCTTATGTAAAACATGACTCAGAGCAAGCAGAGACGTCACGCCAAAGTGTCCCTACTCCAGTGTCCTTCACTGCAAAGCCCGAGCAGGCCACTGGTGGCCTTTAGTGCGGCCCCTGACGTGCAGCCCCCGACTACACAACGAGTGACAATACCCCCCCCTCCCCCCCATCATCGTGCTTTCAAATCCCAATTGTTTCCAACGTGTGGCGGCCCTCACACTGATGATGTCTTATCAGCTAAAGTGTCCCCCATTCTGAAAATGAGTGAAGAACACTGCCTTATTCAAACTAACGTGGGGTGGTGCTCGTAGGCCGAGCGCTGTCGATTCTACGCCGTTGGTAGTCATCTGCGGCGGAGGGATGATGGTTTGATTCGGCTCTTGGCCATGGTCTTGACTTGCAGCCTTGCCATCGGAAGCTGACCCTCTGCAATACCCAGCCATGGTATCGGACAAAGTCAACACTTACTGGGGGTTTTTGGTTGTTTACAAGTGGCATTCGATTCAGAGAGTAATAAATGGCCACTTGGCAAAATGTCTATAAATTGCAAGTCTATCGTGGCAGAGGACATTGACAAATTCCAAAATTTATGACACCATATACAATGAACGTAATTTTGTTCATAGTACAAATGCAATTACAGAGTGAAACGCCAACGTGTAAAAACACACTTAAATTCCACTTGATCCAAAAATAAAACGCATTAATAGTTCACACTTTTTTTATGAGCTGTCGTAAAAGGCATGCTTTGGTATGTGCTTCAGTGTTCGTTGTGCTTTGATGACTGCTGAAGCCAAAGGGCGTTGAGGTGGACACACTTTCAATTGCATTCCTACAAATTGATTCTGACGTCCATAAATATGCAAAACTGTTGCATCTCCGGCTTTGCTTTACCGTAGCATGTTTCTGCTGATGAACGCACAATAAGCACCCAGAAGTATATTAAGTTTGTGTTGCTGGATAATCCAGGCATTACTGCGTTGGTCTGTATATGAGTGTGCACCGCTGTACATATAAAACATTTCTATATTTTGTATAATTAGCAGTTTTAATATTGTGACGTAACAAAAATACAATTCAAAAACACGTCTGTAGATAAGGCCACGACTGAAACGTCAATGTAATACTTTATCAGAGACAATCATTACAACCTATGTTACTTGGTTTTATCAATACTTGTTTTAACAGTGAGCATGAGTACCCACTTGCTGATGCCACAGCTTGTATATTGAGGTGTACATAATTGGTTCTAGAACCTTGCATGCACGTCCCAAGAATATAATCTTCAAACTACCTACTTGTCATAGATTCACTTTAATTCCTTTAATAATAAAAAAAATGTACAGAGAAAAACTAAAAGCATGGCCAAGGCTTTTTAGAGGTCGTGGCTCGTATTTTTAAATTTGCGTTGTCTGTCTGCAGGGCACGTTTTTCCATGAGGCTATGCCAACGACTCCACTGTTCTGTTGAAATTGGCGCATGAGCTGTTTGAAATCGAGTGGGGGGTGGTGTTAAGTGTTTGCGCTTCTGACTTGAAACCGATATTCGCATGTGAGCAAAAAACCCAGTTTGATGTTTTATTTGTATTATTGAGGCCAGACTTCCAGCTAACATTGAAGTGTTTCAACATCAGGGGCAGCAAACATTAAAAATGCCTCTTTGCAATACAACTCTCCGGTTGATTCCGAAAAATTGAAAATTTAATCACAACAGACTTTAATTGTAGTTTAAACTTCGACATTTCCGAGCACATGGTCAATAAATATATTTTGGGAATCCCCAAGCACTTGTGAGCAGATGTGGCTGGTGAGACCGAGTGTTATCTCTGCCCCATGCCCACCACAAGGTTTGGGGGGTGGAGTGTTTATTGGGTTTCATAACATCTTCAACCCTTTAGCTTCCTACGATTCTATTGTCATGATTCAAGGTCACCATTGGTTCAAGGGATTTTTTTTCTCTCACACAGTCTTGTCGTTATCGTTTCGCATTGACTGTCTTTGTCAGTGTTGCTTCACACTGTCACATTTGTAGTTGTGGCTTCGATATGCACTGCCTGGTTTGTCTCGGACAGTGCCGTCACGTTTGCAATGTTTTTTTCCCCGGTGCTGATTTGTTCCTACCGTTGACCTAAAGAAAAAAATAAATTAACTTACTTGAACCGTTAAACAATAGATCCGTCAATGCATTTTGCACACGAGTCATCGTGTACGAGTTTTTACCTTTAATTTCAAATATTTTCTACACAAATCTTTAAAAAAACATTTCCCTTTTTAAATAGCAGCGTGTTGCTGTTGTAAATAAACAGCAGTGTGCCTTCATTTTCAGCGAGATACAAACACTTTCTGCATCGATGTCACCCCTTAAGTTCACAAGAGCTGCAGTTAATCACACGTGTGAGAATTGCACTGTGTTTGTGTATGTTGCATGTCATGAGTTTACACCCTCCAACCACCAGCACTCACTACAATCACCGGTTTCATTATATTTTTGTAATTTAATCCCAATCGTGAACCAGAAAACTTATTGAATCGTTCCACCCCGAATTAACAGCGAATCCAATTATGCTGAATTGTAACAAACTTGGAAATCTTATGACAAATATGTTAACTACTATTGTTAATTAAATTAATGTAAAAAATGGAATTTGGTGCAAAGGGTGTTTACCTGCTCACGAAGGAATCAATAATGGATAATTTATTTGCTCTTGGCAGAGTTCATTCGATTTGTTGATTAGTTGCAACTGTAAATGAAATGTAAACATTTCTCTCTTTAGCTTCGTGAATTCCATTTGCTTTATCCAGATCGGGAAGCCGATTCCTATTTCTCTTCTCGCAGCAATCCTCCGCACGACCTTAATTGCCACGAGTTTAGGTCTGGTTCTTTCGGTCCCTCGTGGAATCCATCGAGTCTGCTGAACACAACACACACGCCTTAGCCCCCTCGCGCGTCCTTCAGCGGAGCTCTCTGATGATGCGTTTTCGGGTTGTTACCACGTGTTGTTTTTGGGAACGATGTCCGACGTTTCGCGCCGCGTGCTGGTGGGAGCTTCTTTTTCGGTACTGGATTTCAAGAACCGGAGGGCCCCCCAGCACGCGGAGCGAAGCGTCAAAAAGACGTCGTTCCGAACCAACACCCGAAAACGCACCGAACAAAGCTGTTCAGCGCAAACCACAACCACCTCCGCAGTGGCTCTGTAGCATGCTTGTGTGTGTGTGTGTGCCCCGTGCCCTTGCTTGGTTGGGCTTGCCACGTTCCCTCTGCGCCACTGTCATCGCAGAGGTTTGTTTTTCTCACGTTTTTTTCTCACGTTTTTTTTCCTCCCTCTTGTCCAAAAAGCATTTGGCACGCAGGCCCCGGTGGGGGGGTGGGGAAATGAGCATCATTTCAATCGATGGTTGGGGTGTGTTTTTTTTACTTGATGTACAGCGTAACGGTAACAAGAGTTCTCATTTTGTCGGTATTTTTTAAGGAAACTGCTTGTTGTAGGCGGTGTACAAAGAAGGTATTTAGCAGTGTGGAAGTGTAATCTGTTGGTGCGTTTGATAATTAAAGCTGTTATGCGATCTTATGCGCTGTCACCTGCAATTGATTGCACGGACATTCTCAATATAGTTTTGATCCTCGCGTTATGTAACAGCACTTTAGTTTTTGAGGTATTTTCTTTGCTTGGGGAAATGAGGAAACCATCTGCGTGTGCCGTGGAATACATGGTGCAAAGCCGTCGATATCATTCAAGTGCTCTCCAGTCCTCGACGAGTTCATTATTATATCATAACTATATTATTTATTCGTCCGTACCTCCGATTAGCACGGTTGGCTACGTACGGTGCGAAAGAAGTTCAACGCACACACATACATTATCCATTTTCCACAGTTACGCTCACTATGTGATTTGGCACTGTTATGCGCACCTCCAATCTGCTCGTGTTTAAACAGCTATGAGAAGCTGCTTTTTGCATGGAAAATAAACAAACAAAAAACTACTCCCAAGAACACATCTGCACGCAGATCTCAATCGGTTACCAAATAGAATTGCACCTTCGTGTTAATAGCGGTGTGACAATCGTCAAACAATTTTTTCGTAGGTTTGTGGAAAAAAAATATAATTATGGAACATTTTGTAGTTACATTTAACTGACAAACGGGAGTTAAGAACATTCATTCATATGTAACATTGAAAAAAATAACATTTCCAATTCATACTTATTCCCACAAAATTAAAACATTTAGGGCGATACGGTGGCAAGATGTTAACGCCTTCGCCTGATAAACAGGAGGTCGTGGGTTTGATTCTGACCCCTGACACCTGTATATTTGGAGTTTGCGGTGTCTCTCCCCGTGGTCGCGTGGATCTTTCTCCGGTTCCTCCGGGGTTTCCCTCCACATTTAGAAACGCGTGATTCAGAGTATTTGTCTGCTATAACTTTCCACAGGGTAAGCCACTTCGTTGAGCTATCATTTGTGGCCAGGTCGCGTCTAAAAATAGCTATATAGCTCAGTGGGCCTCACCTGGTAAAATTTAAAAAATAGTTGATAAACCCTATTATTATAGTTAATAAACAGTTATTGACTTGCAAATTACGAGTGGTGTTTTTTTCCCTTGACGTTCTACTTAAATACAATTCTCCATGGCCTCTTTTTGGCTGACGTGTCACTTCGTGTCGACTGAACTTCCTCCAAAAGCTCCATCGGAACGTATGACCGTCGGGCCTGAAACGGTGAGCGAAATAACGCAGTCACGTTGTAAAATGATAATTTTCCCAGGAAAGCTTCAACTGAGTCTCAACATCCATAGACAAAGGGGGGTCCTGTTTTTATAACGTGTGGCCAATTCTATTGTTGGGTAGGCAACATTTCGCTGATTTCTACAATTGCCACAAAAACAATGCCCCAAAGCATGATGGGCCAAAGGTTGACATGGCGGGAGAGACCTCTGCGTGCTTACACATTTCTTGGCTGTGGGGAGATGCACTGCTCTTGTATGGACCAAGCTTAGTGTTCCGGCACAGCGCTAGAATGTGATACTCTGTACGAAGTGTCATGTCCAGGCGTGTTGAACTTCTAGTCCTCTGTGTGGTAGTCAGATATGTTATCGCATTGCTGCAGGCCTTTATAACGTCGTGTGTGTCTTAGCAATGTTTTCAATTTTCATCCTGATTCTCAAAGATCATCCCTCGATACTGAGACAGTGATCAGTGTCGATTGTGATCAACGATTGTTTTCGTGTGATGTAGTGGCACATTAGACGGTGGTGTGGCCAACATCACTCCAACCTAACTTGGACTTCACGGTCCACCTTGCTGGTAAACACAACCTCAAAATAACTATGAACAATGGCCTCCATCAAGGCCCGGGTCGAGCACCGTCACTCTAACATAAGTGATCTGCCATGCATATCATCTTACAAGTTAATAATATGCGGATGATATAGCCCTCGCTGAACCGGACCCAAACGTCGAGAACAATAACAACAACAACCGCGGTTCACCACTCAGTGGCGGTGACGTCACCACGATGCTTGTGCCAGGCTAGGTGTACATTGAGGCCACGTGAAGTGTCGAAGGCCCGCTGGCAGGAGGTCATGGGACAGACCATTGCCAATATGCTTAACAACTGATATATATATATATATCTTTATTGGAGGAATATTTGTCGCTGGAGGCTGACCAAATCCTTATAAAACCACAGGTACTTTCCACCTGAAAAACCATGCAACATATCCCACAATTGATGTGTCCTGTGACAGCCCAGTGGACTATGACTCAACTCCCAAGATATTAAATGGGGGTTAGAAATTTGTGAAAGGATCAAGATTCGCCCCGCTACAGAAACGTGCAGGAATGATTATGGAGTGTCTCCGCTGCGAGCTGCCGCCCGATCACCGATCTACTCAGTGGCAGAGTCACTGCGCTCCAGCCTCGTCTATGAGCTTGTACACAACACTGCTCGATGCATTATTAAATAATGCAATGCGCATCATAGCCTGAACACACTAAAACCGACAGCAAGCCCCTGGCAGAATGTTTACCAGGACAGCAAGCCCCTGGCGTGCTGCTCTGGTAAACATTCTGCCATTATATATCCGCAGACACATGCGAACTGCGCGGAGATTTACGGGTTTTCTTGCCAACGACAGCCACCTACCCATCAACCAAGACCTCAACTGTGTACCTCGCCACCGACTCATGTCCCGATCCCCCTTCTGGGATCACTCTGCCACCATCCTAGATTCTCACCCAGTTCCAGGAGAACGCTGCCGAACAGAGTGGAAACAACGCAGACGTCTTGCACGAACACCCCCATTCGCGAGACCCAAACATCGCACTCCCCTTGCTTTGACATTTTACTGCTAGGAACCTCCTGGTTACACCAGCCCACAGGGGATTATTGTGTCCGTCCGTCGTGGAGGGAGGGGCTGGGTGGGGAGGAGAGGGTGGGGCTGGGTGGGGAGGATGGGGAGGGGCTGTGTGGGGAGGATGGGGAGGGGCTGGGTGGAGAGGGTGGGAAGGGGCTGGGTGGGGAGGGTGTGGAGGGTGGGGAGGGGCTGGGTGGGGAGGGGCTGGGTGGGGAGGGTCGGGAGGGGCTGGTTGGGGAGGGTCGGGAGGTGCTGGGTGGGGAGGGTCGGGAGGGGCTGGGTGGGGAGGTCGGGAGGGGCTGGGTGGGGAGGGTCGGGAGGGGCTGGGTGGGGAGGGTCGGGAGGGGCTGGGTGGGGAGGATCGGGAGGGGCTGGGTGGGGAGGGTCGGGAGGGGCTGGGTGGGGAGGGTCGGGAGGAGCTGGGTGGGGAGGGTCGGGAGGGGCTGGGTGGGGAGGGTCGGGAGGGGCTGGGTGGGGAGAGTCGGGAGGGGCTGGGTGGGGAGGGTGGGGAGGGGCTGGGTGGGGCTGGGTGGGGGGTGGGAGGGGTGGGGCTGGGTGGGGAGGGGCTGGTCACCCCGTGGTGCCCTTATAAAACTCAACGTTTAACCTACTCACGCCGGCTTGTGCCCGCCCACACAGTCGGGCATATTTGCGGATTACACCACGCCGCCGTTGACCCTGTCCATTGACCGAGCCACCCAACGTTCCTACCAGCTCCCTCCGCAGGAATGTGTTTTGTTTAAGCACACCGGGTAGTGCAATCATCAAACGCACCAGAACATCAACAGGCCGATGCGTACAAGCCACAGTGCGACTGTGACCATGCAACCCAAACTTAGGACCATTTAGTAAACCACTGTCGTCTGCGCTCCTTCAACAGAAGAGGGAGAGCAACACACTCACTCATTATCTCCGAGAACATTTTCGTGGCTATCAGACCTCGACATTGGCATTTATCTCCGGAACATAGTTTCAAACGCAATGATAAAACACAACCGCCTTTGTCTCACCAGTGCTGACGTGCAAACCCCGTGTCAGGTCCTCATTTTAGGCTGAGTGGATCTGCGATTTTAAAATTACATTCAGATACCACTTGTGACTTCACTTCGTGTTTTCATAGACGGAATAGTGTTATCACCGAAAGTGTGAAGATTTTGGGGTGTAGAGTTAACATGCCATAGCAATGAATACAGAATTCTCATTCAGATCGTTTAGGGAAAACCATTTGTACGGACTGGCAAAGTAAACATAGCAACAACAACAGCATCATATGATCGTGTCAGTGTTGTTTTGACCACATTGATTCATTATTTTTGCATGTGACTCATGTTTGCGGAATGTACACATGATGTCAAGCCACCCAATTCAGGGCTAACATCGGCTAAAATATGCAACGATACGAAAACAGATTGGTCGATTTTATAAATTAACAACAAGTTGTAAATAAAAAAAGCCTTAAATACACGTGCGAATTATTTGCCTCACGTAAAAAAGGGGGTTGGGTGAGAGAAGTAATCACGTTACACTGCATGTGGAAAGATAGTGGAGGGTGGTGAGGTGAGCATTGCACGGGCTACACAGGTACCCAAAAGTGGACAGATTTGAGAAGCAAATACCGTATAATCACAACTCTGTTCTGCATCTCCACACAAATAAAAAAAATGTGCTTCAAGTCCCGTTCGCCCAGGGATTGGCTATCAAAATAACAAGAAGGGCCATTATTTCTAATTCGGTTAAAAAAAAGCTCTTATTTTTTAAAGAGCCTTAATGCGTATCAATACGAGGTGGTGGTAGCCCTTAATACCGTCACGAAAGCAGTCCGTTAATGAGCCACATGCAGGATGCCGATCCCTGCATTAGCCCATTTTGCCCCTCGAGACCGGAATTATCAAGCCACGATTTTTGTTTTCTCCAAGCAAGCACAACTCTGGATCGGTGGTAGGGTTTTTGTTCGTTGCCATCCTGAGTTCGGCTTGTCAAACAAATGTTGCCGTCATTGGCCAGAGTACTTTCGCTGTTAAACCGTGGGACTTGGTTCAATACAAAACAAGCACACTCGCGCGCATCAACACGCTGTGCGTTACGAAAATCAAACAACGGTACTGTCACCGCATATAAACACAGACATTGCTTAGTCCATCGGCCCATTGGTCCTGCAGGGTTCGGGGAGGTGTGGGGTGGCGAGGGGCATGGGGCGTACTGCACCTGTGGTG